TATGATGTTGATTTATAACATGCTTTTAATTTGACACCAGATGTAACATGATTCAAACCTTCCAAAAAGTTAAACTTTTTGTCTCGTCAGTCCACACAATATTTTCCCTGGAGTCAGATGTTTTGTGGCAAATGTGAGACAAGTTATTGTGGCAGTGGTTTTCTTATTGGATCTCTGCCATGGATGCCATTTTTGTTCAGTCTCGTTCTTATTGTTGAACCACGAAATCTGACCATAACAGAGGAAAATTCAATTCAATTCAATTCAATTTTATTTATATAGCGCCAAATCACAACAAAAGTCGCCTCAAGGTGCTTCATAGATACAGAGAAAAACCCAACAATCATATGACCCCCTATGAGCAAGCACTTTGGCGACAGTGGGAAGGAAAAACTCCCTTTTAACAGGAAGAAACCTCCGGCAGAACCAGGCTCAGGGAGGGGCGGCCATCTGCTGCGACCGGTTGGGGTGAGAGAAGGAAGACAGGATAAAGACATGCTGTGGAAGAGAGACAGAGGTTAATAACAGATATGATTCAATGCAGAGAGGTCTGATTAACACATAGTGAGTGAGAAAGGTGACTGGAAAGGAAAAACTCAATGCATCATGGGAATCCCCGGCAGCCTACGATCTATTGCAGCATAACTAAGGGAGGATTCAGGGTCACCTGGTCCAGCCCTAACTATATGCTTTAGCAAAAAGGAAAGTTTGAAGCCTAATCTTGAAAAGTAGAGATAGTGTCTGTCTCCTGAATCCAAACTGGAAGCTGGTTCCACAGAAGAGGGGCCTGAAAACTGAAGGCTCTGCCTCCCATTCTACTTTTAAATACTCTAGGAACAACAAGTAGGCCTGCAGAGCGAGAGCGAAGTGCTCTAATAGGGTGATATGGTACTACAAGGTCATTAAGATAAGATGGGGCCTGATTATTTAAGACCTTGTATGTGAGGAGCAGGATTTTGAATTCAATTCTGGATTTAACAGGAAGCCAATGAAGGGAAGCCAAAACAGGAGAAATATGCTCTCTCTTTCTAGTCCCTGTCAGGACTCTTGCTGCAGCATTTTGGATTAGCTGAAGGCTTTTCAGTGAGTTTTTGGACATCCTGATAATAATGAATTACAGTCGTCCAGCCTGGAAGTAATAAATGCATGAACTAGTTTTTCAGCGTCACTCTGAGACAGGATATTTCTAATTTTAGAGATGTTGCGCAAATGGAAGAACGCAGTCTTACATATTTGTTTAATATGTGCATTGAAGGACATGTCCTGGTCAAAAATGATGTCTGGAGTTCTTCAGATGTTTCTCTGGGTTCTTTCATGATCTCCTGGATGAGTAGTCAGTGCACTCATGAAGTCATTTTAGCCTGCAACTCCTGGGAAGTTTCACCACTCTTCCCAGTTTCCTCTGTGTGTAGATAATGGTTTTCTCTGTGGTTCACTTGAGTCCCAAAGCCCTAGGCTTTGTAAAGCTTAACAAACCGATAGATATGAATGATTGTATTTTAAATCTGTCCTTGAATTTCTTTAGATTGTTTCTGACCTTCTTTGATCTTGTAACCTACTTCACTTTGTCTGACAGATTCTATTTATATGATTTCTTGATTCAGTGCTCTTCTTGTTGGCTCTGACTTGGTAGATAACCGCATGAATAATGATGTTATTTTCACCTCTAAAGTTGTCTCGCTGTTTAACACAGATTAAGATCAATTTATCTTAAAGGACAAGCAAGTGCAGTGTAATGAAGGTGTGTGTGTGTGTGTGTGTGTGTGTGTGTGTGTGTGTGTGTGTGTGTGTGTGTGTGTGTGTGTGTGTGTGTGAATAAGACTTAAAATGTAAAAAGTCCTTTGAGAGATCAAAGTTGAGTACTGGTCCAACTTTTCTTTTTCAACAGTGGAATGTTTGTATGGCAAACATCTTTAATGACATAGAAAATAAACACATGAGAAACGAGTGGACCAGCTTGAATTATTACTTTCTCTGCATTTGACCCATTCACTCAGTGGAGCCGTGGGCAGCCAATAAGCAGTGTGTAGGGATGGTACCTTGCTCAGGTGTACCTCAGGGTAGCCGCTCAGTGGATTCGAACCCCCAACTTTCCGATCACAGGGACGACCATTCTACCTACTGAGATATCCCTGCCCTAATGCTGGTGGTTTGAGAAAAGGAATCAAAGTCAGTGGAGACAAGACAAAATACATGTATAAATGAGAGGGAGACAGGTGGAAAGGTGAACGTGCAAGGATCACAAAAGCAATAGTGAAGGTGGATGAATATGAACACCTGGGGTCAGCCATTAAAATGAACACTGCACAATAGAGATGAAGAAGTGAGTGCAGGCCGGGTGGAGTAATTTGTGACAGATGAATAACAACAAGAGTGAAAGGGAAGATTAACAAGATAGTAATGAGACATGCTTGATGTGTGACTTAGAAACATGTCATGTTCGTTGTGGTGAAAGAAGAAAAGTGATGCATGCAGAGCAACAGGAAGTGATTTGTAACTTGTTTGTGCAATTTTCAATAAGACCACAGACATGATAACATGCACAGGCCTGCAGTAAAACCAGCGACTGTAGAAAACTCTCCACCTACGCTTATTTTAATACTTTTATCTTCATAATACAAGAACTAAATCCACTGTGGGATGCACCTGATTGCATTTTTATTTGTATTTGTGATTGCTGTCAGGAGCCATCACATCATGTGAACACACACACACACACACACACACACACACACACACACACACACACACACACACACACACACACACACACACACACACACACACATATAAACAGTTTGAATGAAATATTTGATTAAACATAATCTGTAATAATACATGAACGAGGCAGTAATGCACAGACACACACCTGCTCAGCAGTCATCATAGAACGGGGCTGGTTCATTTTTGTAATCTACATTAAACCAGCTGTGAATAACAAGGCTAAGTGCTCTTCAGTGTAAATATGGATGGACTGACGGGACACTAAGAGGACAAGAACAATACATCCACTCTCTGCTGCTGTCAGACTTACAGCTGCTTTCTCGGTGATTTTAGTGACAATACAAGAAGTTAAAAGTAAACAGTGAACAAATGATTAATCACTTCAAACACTCAAAGAGATTAAGATGTTGCTAAATCCTTCCTCTTTACCTCTCTGCAGAATAAACAGCGTGCCAGTAAAAGGCAAGAAAAGGCAACTTGGTAAGAGATGCAAGCTTCATAACATTTCTTTTCCTGCCCCTTTTGTACAGGAAACGTCTTGTTAGATTTGTATTTACATAGTTTCACAACTAGAAAAAATGAATCTGTGACTCTATACTTGGCCCTATGCCCTTTAACAATGTGCTGCATTACTAATAGGTGTACTGAAATCTATCTGTTATTCATTTGCATAACACATGGGTTTGACATTAGACTCCCCCCGACTTCTTGTTTATCTACTGTTCCATCTACTTGAACAGGTGTGGTTCCAAACCTTTAGTCAAATCCAGGAAGTGGTCATGTACTGGTGATCATGCAGCAGAACAATGAACAAAAGAAAAAGAAAGAAAAAAAACCTAAGTCACAGACACAAAAACAACCTCTAGACATGGAAGATAAGAAATGAAAAATGACGACAAATTAAGAAACAGGGTGGCAAGGAAGTACTGGGGTAAATGATGATCTGATGGAGCTGAGTATTCAGCAACAAACTATTCAGGACGGTCAACAACAATGACAGAAAACTAACATCAATCCATCCTCTTACCCTTATCAGGGTCACAAGGGGACTAAAACCTATACCAGCTACCATAGGCCGAGAGGCAGGGTACACCCTGAACAGGTCACCAGCAGGGCTAATACAGAGAGATAAACAACCATTCACACCTAGGAGCAATTTCAAATCACCATAACCCCGCTTACTGCACGTGTTTAGACTGTAGGAGGAAGCATATACAAAAACCATATACAAAATACAAAAGCTAACAGATGAAGTAAAACTAACATGAGCACACAAAGGCACATGGTTACAATATAATACAAGAAATAACACAAGAAATGCTTTGAAACAGAAATATCTGACACAAAAACATGAACTCGGGAACTCAGATGTAAAGATTATTCTATTTGTAAAGCATGTTATAAACAATCAGTGTGAAAAGAATGCATTTAAAACAACATTCAAAATCGCCATCAGAGTTAACAACAGGAAACAGAAGAGTTCTTTTAAATAATGATGGTTTTACTTTAAGCAAATTACAATTAAACAACTGAGAGCAGGAATGATGCAGACAAAATATAAAACAGACAGAACTAAAGTGAATCGTGGAAAATGTGTAAAATATTATTCTGTACTACTATGGAGTGGAAACAGGACGCATGTTCTTTTCCAATAACTCGGTGCTCTTTAACTCGGCATACTGATGTATTACAACAACAATAATATTAATAATATTAATAAATACAAGCTTACCATGTATTAGCTATTACATACAGTGCTGCAGTGCAAAAACATTTCCTATGTCTCATGAAACTAAAAGAAATATACATTTTAGTCAAGTATACATGACTTCCAACAAACGTGTGAGATGAATTTTTTGCCTGATGGTGGATCAGAAGGTGGACATGAAGGTTTGCACTAAATCTTGGCAATAGACAGCAACAGATAACCTGAATATTTGTACCAAACTTTAAGAACCTGAAAAATCTTGAATGGACTTGTTGTTTTTTCCAGTGTTGAACAAGTAGTTTCAAAGAAAATGACAAAATAACCTCTACTCCCCAAACATCTGGACACTCTTTTGAGGAAATATCAGTTGAAGTTAAAACTAGAGGTGTAGTACAAAACTTCAGATGAAATCAGACAATCAAGTCCACAGCGGTAACCCTCAGGGGACAATGAATGCCTGACCAAAATTATATTGTAGAATCATATCTACTGTCCAGTAGCTCTATTAGGAACTGACAATTAAAGAATGGTCCACAGTTCGGCTTCCTTTTGCTTTTATCAGATTTTCTTGACTGTGCTGTACAATTCAGACGGATCCTCCTCACTGTCCTGGTGTACAGTTCTGGAGAAAAAAAAAATCGGATGGATGAAGGAGGCGTGCTGTAATATGTGTGCCCAAGTTCATGTTTCTAGTGTATAAAGCAGCAGGCCAGGTCAGTCAGAGAGTCACTAAAGTCCACAGCGGTTACCCTCAGGCTATGAAGTCAGTTGGATGAAATGTTTTTCCCACTGTAAATGTTACGTTCTTGGATTTCCTTACATGGATGCATGCATCTATACAACTGAAATTCTTAGTGCTGGTTACCTCAGGGCAGGACTGAAGTTGACTGCAGCGTACTCTACATGCTCATCCTCCTCTTTCACCTTTTGTCTGCGGGATCCAGCTGATCGGATGTTGTAATAAATGGGATCAGTCTGGTTCGTTGAGAATCGGACACTAGCATAGTTAAGCTCTTCCTCTTCCTCTGAGTGACTGGGTGGAGACTGAAAAAACACAGAGTTCAGAAACCTGTTGAACTTTAGCTGATTTCCTTCATTTGCTCTACTTACAGTCATTTTACTTATTTATGTTTATAAATATTCATGTTATAAAGATTGACCAACTTTGGGATAAATAAGCATACTCATACTCATATTTAAAGTAAGATAAGTAACGTTGCCCAGAGCTCCCCCTCAACAACCCTGACTCTCAGTATAAAGTTCTTTTGCAGTTCAGATCTGGTTTTCAGTCTTACCTCTGTCTTCCCTGTGTGCTGACTTGGAGATGTGCAGGAAACCTGTTCAAGAAAATGTTCAAGGAAATGTTATGGAGCCAGCTAGATTAGACATCCACAGATTCCAAGTTAGTTTTAAATCACTGTGCATCTATGGCCACAGACAGCAGGGGGTCTGATACCACTGGGTGGTTTATCAGTCGTGATGTCACCTGAATGGACATTATTAATGTCTCAGTTGCTCATGACATTTTTAGCAGAAAACTCTGATTTACAGAGAATATTGTGAGAACTACAGCCACATTTGAGTTTATCAAAACATTGTTAAGGATGAGTCTAATTCGGGTGGCTCAACTCTTTTCTTCTGCAGGTGTTTTGGAATTTTAAACTTCACTTTGACTGTTCAAATTGAATTTTAACGAATAACCAGAATGCAGTTTCACAGGATTTCACACTCAGTTATTAAATGCTCACCTTGTTGTTGTTGTCCCGTCTGTTTCCAGGCACAGGAAATAATGCTGAGGGCTTCTTTTTTCTAGGTCAGGGGGAGGAATGAAAAACTTAATTAAAAGTAAGCAATCTGAGCACCAACAAGGGTGATTTTTAATGTGCAGTAGATACTCACGCAAGCAGGAAAAAGACCAAGAGGCATATAATAACTAGGAAAACCACAAGAGTTATTCCAGTGACAGCTAGTTTTGCCGCCTGCGGGAAATCTGTGATTTAAAAACAAATATAAAAAATAAAAACATGTATTTATATGCAGCCAGATTACGGATTACAGACAATAATCCTTGCTTTGTTTTCTCTTCTATATAAATGTTGCTGGTTTTTAAGTTGTAATTGATGGACTGCTTGATTTGTTTGTTTGTTTTGTGAGCATTATTGTTATCTCACCATATTAATAGATTTGTATAAGTTAAACTCCGAGTGATTGTGAATAGTTTGCTATTATTGTTTAGTGTGTCCATGCACTGATTATAAACAATGCCATGAGCTGCTCATTACTACCACACACATTATTGTATATAGTGGGTTATGACATCTATGAGCAAATGAGTAAGTGAAATAAAAAATGTACCTTCCCTGACAGTCAGCTGTAAGGTGACATTATGACGTCCTCTGTTGTTGTGGGCCACACAGTAATAACTCCCACTGTGCTCAGGTCTGATGTTGCTGATGGTGAAGTTGTGTCCTGATGCTTTAGGTGAGTCTTCATCCTCCTTGTACCAGGTGTA